ATAGATTATATAATTTAAGAACATTACATAATTTATGCATGATAATTTGCAGTTGTAATCATGTTCGCGGTTAATCCGTTATAATATTTCCCATTTAACTGATCGATATTTCGAAAATAGCCCCAATATTTGCGGTTCGAACAGGAGATTAGCTATGGCATCTGTGCCGCTCGAGCTCGCCTGGTTACATCATGAATTTTGTAAGTTTCTCATCGACATACACCGCTTCGACCTGGCTAGATTTTACGCCAAGAAGGGACAGGACGTGGCGCGAGAAGCAAATTGTGACCAATGGGTCTTGAACATCGATCATCTGATGCTGCGGATAGAGATTTATCAGAATAATCGGAATGAGGCGAGAGACATCGTGCTTTTAACGCTTGCACACGCCAGAAAACTTAATATCGACTGTCTGGTAAAAATAAAATCCATAAATTCGCAAACCAATTCGTAACGACGTCGCCATGTTGCGGTCGAATTTATTTTACGATCGATATGCGCACATTATTTAAAATTAGCTTGCGGCGTGCGCGAGAATGTGTTTAAAAAGTATCGGAAAACGACGACTAAAACCAACTTGCTCACCGCCCGCGCCGCTAGCAATTTGCAGCACTAATTTTCCTCTCTTCAGAGCAATCTACGCCATCGCACCTTTTGAATTTTTTAATAAATGAAGTCTAGAGCAGCGGGCTATATTCATTGGTGTATTATCGCGAGTCATATTATATTTACTGAATCAACGAAAATTAATTTTCTTCGGTATTTTGTGTTCTCGTTAGGTTTGTTTAGACAGCTTTAAGAATATATCAGCTTCATAGTTCCTGTAAATATTTTTAAATTGGAAATGTGTTAACATGTCTATATTTTCCACATAAAAATAAATATTAAAACTATATACATATGAAACAGTTGTGTGAATAATATCATATATTTAACAATACATTTTTACATTTTATTTACTGCATTTATTATTATTTCTTATTGTTATAATACTTGAACTTAAAAAATGATAACAAAAATTTTTTGTGCAAATTTTTATATTTAAATTTATTTATTTACAGAACAACTGATCATTGAATCACAATAAGATTTTGCATAAGTAATCTTGATTATTTAAAATATTTATGCAAAAAAAATTCAATTTTTATCATCATTAAGTTGAAATATTATAAGAAATAATGATAATTATAGTAAATGAATTATAAAAATATGTCGTGAAATAAATAAATATATGATGTTATTCACACAACTGTTTCATACGTACCTACATAGTTTCAGTATTGATTTTTGTATAAATATAAATATTAATATATTATCAATCTCAAACTTTTTGCAGGGACTATATAGCTAATACATCTTTCACGATCGACAAAAAGTTTCTTTTCTTTTTCGTTTAAGTGTTACATATTCCCGTTATTTGCACAATCACTGCAGTCTTTTTCATATTATAACAAGCTAAAAAAAGCTGTAATTTCGAAATTAAAAATTTCGATTAAAAGAGGATCGTTACGTCTTTTCGCAAAGGTGTAACGATTCTCTTTTGCGAGAAGCAAGTTTTCACCATTATGCGACACAATCGAATTGCTGACGTAAGGGATAAGTAAAGCATTCTCCATTCACTGGGTATTTAATTCAAAGGTCGGTCTCATAAATGTATCCGCAGATAGATTTTTATGAAAGGGCCGTAAGGATCGTGGACGAAATGGACGTGGAGCGTAGCGGTGACTTTGACGACATTGCTGCTAGGCAGCAGCTTATTCTCGAGCTAATGCCGAAAGAGATGAAGGGGGAGGTGGATTTTCTGTGGCGGCGAATGGATGTCGTGCCCGCCAAGAGACGACTCTCCGTCATGCCGGGCTGCAAGCCAATCGATCGAAAGTTCAAAATGCCATCCACGCGAAGGACCATATTACCCAGCCCGCCAAAGGACCCGGAGAGGGATGCCAGGATCGCTTTGTTAAAGCAGTACGCCCCACCGCGCAGGCGACCGGGTTTTGTGAATTTTCAGGAGTTCGAATAATCGATCGTCAATCGACAATGCAAACAATGGTGTTTTTGCATTGTTTGCGCAGCACTCAGTGTAAATTAACGACGCTAAATGCAAATGTAATGATGTTGATTCACGAATAGGGATCATTCAACCGTTACGTCATAAATGCGCATTTGTTTAGTTTAAATTTATTGAAGACCATTAAAAAATCTGTATCTCGTCTTTTTTTTATTCACAGTTTTTATTCTACGTTGAAGGTAATTTATTCACGTTTTGTAATAAAAATATGTATATATAAAATACGTAGAGGTACGCTTATTTTTAATACTCATTAGGATAATTTCATACCGTTTTCCATCACTTGTGGGAACCGTAATAACATCATGTCGACATAATGTGGCATTAACCCTCCGGAACTGACGTGGGTTTATTAGATCCACTCAATTACATCCCTCCGAAGTCAACGGTTGGTCTATTGAAGCCATTTAATTACAAAAATCTGTTTATAAAAAAATGTCAAACAATTTAATTTTCTTTACATTACATCTACAAATTCTTGCTAAAATAGACTTAGTATTCATTTTTTATGTGATTTTGGTTCCTTCAAATTCATTACACAGAAAAGACGGTTTTGCTGAAGAATTTAAAAATTTAAGATGCAGATCTGAAAATAATTTCATTAGATCATCAAAATAATTATATAGGATGCTTAACCTGATTGCAAGATTGGTCAAAACTTTTTGCAGAATTATTAATCATTCTTGAAATTTCTACGAAATTATTTTGATGATTCAACAAAATTATTTTCAGATTGTAGTCTTTTTTATAATTAACATAAATTAAATGGGTCTTATAGATTCAGCGTCAATAATTGCGTTATAAATTTTGACGTCAGCTCCGAAGGGTAAGAATTCTCAACCAACGTTTCACCTCGCTACTTTACGTAATCACAATCGGTGACTTCTCTTTTTATTTACCACGCATCATCGCGCTGCCTCGTTATTCTCGCGTTTCAATCTGGTGACGTCTGACAGGACCATTTCGCCGTGATGTACGGTCGTTTTCCAATAACGACGTCGTGCCTTCCAATCTGAGATGAGCAACATTCTGAACGCCTGCGGAGCTACCGAAAGCATCGTAGCGGAAAATCTCCTTACCGCAATGACACTACCTGGGTTTTTTCAACCCTCCTCGGTTTTTCTTTTCTTCACGTTTTCAGTCGTTATCATCGCCTGAAATTTCAGTCCCAGCCTTTTACATTTTTTCCATCCCTTCTGCAGGCTCTGCGACAACGTTTTATCGCGGCGATATGCCGACTGTTAATTGGCAAGAATAATTAATTAGCCGTGCGCAGGGGACAATATGGTAATATATTGAGCGGCAGAAAGAGAAAGAGAGAGAGAGAGAGAAGAGAGAATTAGTATGTTAGAAATTGAATATAATAAATGAAATATGATGTGTATTTGCTATTTGGAATTTAATTAATTCCAAATTACTTCGTATTTTTACGATGTTAAGTCTAACGCGTGGTATAAGAATTACGTTATATTGTGTTTCTTTTTGGAATCGCGTTGAAAATAAAATAATATGTAAAATCACAAAAATAATATGTATAAAATTACACAATTTATAGTTGAAATATCTTAAATTATGTTTTTATAAAAATTAGTACTTACTTCTAATTGAAATCAGGAGATAGCATCTCCCGTCAAGTATATTTTTGAAGTTTAATACGTTAAAAATATTCTTTTTATATTATTATGAAGGATATTTTTATATTAGACGAAAAAAAATCACAATAATATAAAATTATAATATATATTATAATTATAGTCTATTTCTAATTTTTATGTATATACAAATGTTTGTAATATATAATAATGATAATATCACACATATTATGTTTGCATTTTTACGTTCATAAATTTCGATAATATAGCTTAAGAAAAATTGTACCTAATTCATTGGTGAATTATTATATAATATTTCTATATATATATAAATTAGGTTTCAATTGTAAATGTACTTTTGCTAATTGTTTTATTCTATAAAGAATATTATATATAAATAATAACTTTATGTGAAACTTTAATTGAAATTTTATTTATAAGTTATAACTTTACTTACGTGTGTATGAATATACACCTTTAATAGTAGTATAATGTTGTAACTTTGCATGTATTTTTTTACAACATGAGGTGGATTTTTATTAAGCTAGGAAAACAGGTCGCTATTCGTTATTGTTCCAGATACGCATGAAATTTACGAAGACAGATTATATGAAGATAGATTACAAAGATTACTTTTCGTGCACGGGGATGTTTAAAAAAGCTGCCGCATAGTAATTATAATAGCTTTCGCGGGGATCGATCGTCTGCTTTAAAATTACTATTGCTTATCTTTTATAGGAATTATATTTATTAGAATATATCTCATAAAATCACGTTAATGTATGATTTAATGAAGAAAACATTTACCAATGGCATATATAAAACAGAATAAGATAATTATATTCGTAAATATAATTACATTTATGCAATCAGGTTAATATAATAATTATTTATATGTCACAAACAAAACGTAGACAGTACTGAGAGAAAAGTTTTTGGTGTTTGTGATTAAGCATACTAAAATATTATGATTATAGGCGTTCCATTTTATAATTATTATCTATAACGCTAGTAATAATGTTTATACTAGTAATTATAATTATATTTATATTATAGTTTTACCAAAAATAATATATGTGAAAACGGCTACGATTTTATTTTTTAGCAGTAAGATAAATAAAGCTACATAATTATTTTACCATGCAATTATAAATCACAAATACCAAAAATTTTTCTTTTAGGGCTGTCTTCATATAGTATATGACATATAAACTACACAGTTTTGATTACTGTAGATACATACGTTTTAGAACGTAGCTCAGTGTGTTATATCGTATCGTATTGTATGGAAAATCGATTTTAAACGAGCGAAATTGGTTGCGAGAGGTTCCCATCTGAAAAACAAATTGCGAATCTTCGATCAGGTGGACTCACGGATCCGAGATCGGGCGATATGAATGGCTATCTCTGCCAGATGGAAGCTCAACAGCATCGTGCACGATCTCGATGTCACCAAGCAGACCGTGGACAACGCGGAGAGTCGTGCGCGCCTTCAGATAAAAACTAGCGCTTCGAAACTGTCCCAGAGAAATACCCGGCAGTTTGCACAAGCCCTACATCACCAAGCGGACGAGTTGTGCCAACGGTAGAGTAATCAATATCTGTTAATGATATTAAGTACTGGATGGCATTAATCGCACTTTATATTTTGTGACTTTTGATTAGCTTAGCTAATTTGACGTGAGCGTAACGCCGATCTCTGGGGATTCCGCGTTGAATAATTCTGAAATCGATCGCCATTTTCGGAGTTACATCAAAAGCACATTAACCCCTTATTCGCGTCCCGCTTTTTTGTGACGTAAACACCGATCGTTTTCTTATTAACATTTTTGTTTTTGAAAAGATTTCATGCGATCGTATTGGATCGCGTAACGTGTAACAATGAGAGAGGAAGAGCCATTGTGCCGCCTTGACGTTCTGTAATTTTCAACTGGAAATTGGATCTGCACACATGAATATGTAGAGATGATATATTCCTATATACACGGTATATTCCTATTAACTTAGTTACGTCCAACGTGTCAATATTATGTACGAATAAAGATTGATTGACATGTATAAGTAATGAATAAAATTTTCTATGCGAAAAGAAATGTTATCGATTAATTATCTATCGATTATCCTTAATATCCTCAAGTAAGAGTAGTAAGAACTCGTTTATATTTAATATAGATAATAGCCAAAAGAGTTAATAAACGATAACACAGAGAATCTGAAAAGAATCTTTTTTGTGATTTCCGACTTATGAAATAAATTCCTGTTTTGTCCCATTTCTAAAAGTTTTTTAAAGGTTCCTCTATAAATCTTTCATCTTAAATAAATTTCGTTTAAGAATTAAATAAATAAAGTTTAGTTTAAAAAAAACTTTAATTTTAAGATTGTTTAGTTTTTCTATATTGCAATGATTCTATTAAATTACTTCTTGATTGTTTCTCAATTATAATTTTATTTCAAATACCACAATTAAGCATTTTAACAAATTGATAATTACAGTGTTTAATCTAATAATATTTTAAACAGAAATATTGATAAATATTTTCGTTAACTACGTAAATTTATCGGACATAGCAAGGCGAATTTATTATCGATAAAACGTAACATAACTTCACTGCATCGAATATTTAAAATTTAAAGCTCGTTATGATAATTAGCTATCATTCTTGTCACTAAGGGGTATAAGCATTTCGGCCGTATTTAAGAAAAATGGGTCGTAGGGAATATCGGAAATATTGCCAATACGTCTCCTGAAAGAACATTCAACGAGAATATCACTTTATAAACGGCCGATGTTTAGTTTTTGTGGATAGCCATGTGTGTGTGTGTGTGAGCGTTTTAATTCTACAAATAGATTTCCTCTTTCCTCGATTTAAAAAAAAACCCTCCAACAGTCTACGGTTTAATTCCTGTGTCAATAAAGCGATAGAGGCTTTTTTGTAATCTTATAGCTATAACATTAAATATTATTAAATCATATTTTTACCGGAAGTTTTGTTTTTGAATGTGGGATAATATTTATTAATATTTAATAATTGTTTCATGATTAAAAAAGTATTAAAACATTTTATCAATTATTTATATAATATATTGATATTAAAGAACAATTATTAAATCAAATACGTCAATTGTTAAATCCTATTTTGATGGGACAATATTTAATAATATGACATAAAAGCTCCATAATAATATATTTAAATATATTATCAAATCGCTTATATTGAGGAATTATATAGGAATAAAACTTATATGAGGAATAAAAAAATTTGATGAAAAAAATATATAATTAATAAGTACCAAAAAATTCACTCACATAAATTGTACAGTGGCGAGTACGAGTCAGCGTTGGTATTGTATCATCGAGCAGCTACTGTGTGTCCGCACGACAGCAGTCACAATGTGGCAGCACGACGTACCGCAGCTACAATAAGCTCGTGGAATAATTCAGAAAAAAACTTGACAAGAGATGACCCGATTTCGAGGGCGACTTCGAGTCACGACATTGTGGCGCTTAAAGCGCGTGATACTTCGAAGTCATTTGATGATCCATCGATAATCACAGATGTTCTCAAGTAGATCAAACTCTTATATTTTACATAGATAATAAATATTTCAATAGCATTTTAATTTCAAAGGTTTCTCTATAAATTTTTTTAAGCCAATTTTCTGTTGCTTCAATCTTTTCACATTCAAAATTAAAATACCTTTTTAGCCGAAATTCATAATCGTATAATTGTTGTTAATTTTTTATTAAAAGCGTAATTATAATTACAAACTCATATTTTGGATTATGATTTTATAGATCTCTATTGTTCGAACACAAATCTGTGTTTGAAAAATTGTTCTGTTATTATTTACGATTCATCTTTAATCTTCTTTATTGATTTAAATAATTTATTCATCAAATAATAACCGATCGACTATGAATGTAGACTGCAGTCTACATTGAAATAAAATTTGAATTAAAATTAAAATTGAAGAAAATAAAGTTTTTTTCTCGGTTTAAAGTAGGCGATGAGACGGCGCTATTTAATTACATCTTAGAAATTTAGTTTGACATAAAGCCTTTATCCTTAATAACTTGAAACTTGAATATTATTAATGAGTCAATTCTAAGCAGAATCGTAAGACTCGTAACGTGTTCTCGTAAAACTTGTAAGACCTTATATGACTAGTATTCTAATTTTATACGTATGTATCGTAAGACATACGATTTATATATATATTCGTAAATATCTACGATTTCTTATAAATTTTATGGCTATAAGAAGCTGTTTGTAAAAATATCGTATAAAGGTATAAGCACTTAAAAATTCTTACAAGTCTTACAGAAATATGTTACGAGCCTTACGATTCTGTTTAGAATTTAGTCATAAGTGTCTCGATGTTTCAGTCAAAGAATATTTTATCCCTTTTTCAGATATCTCGATAATCGCAAGAAAACTTCCGACAAAATTTCCCCCGCGCTAAGACCCTTGACTTCCAAACTAATTCGATCCATGACGATGTTGAAGCATGTCAATAGTCGCGCCAATGCTATGCTGAAGAACTTGAAAATTAATTTCGAAGCTGGCAAGATGAAGACTTCCCTAAGACTCGCTGAGGATTTGCTAACATTATCTTCCGGCTTGGAGGATTTTCGCCGATACAGAATATCGGCGTATCGGTATTTATCTCTGATCCATACGAAATTAGGAAGGCATGATCGAGCGTGTAGCAACGTCGCCATAATGGTGCGGCTGTCGAAGAGCACCAACGATGTCGTTCTCCTATCACGCGCTCTTGTGACTCTGGGCAGGGTGCATCTCAGCTTCGGTCATCTGGAAGTTGCCGCACGTGCTTTGGAAAATCTGTCGATCCATGTCAACCACCCGGTGCCGCGGGCTTGGGTGCACCATGAGATTGGACGCTGCCATTTGGAGACGGGGAAGTACGTCAAGGCGTTGCGCAAGGCGACGCAGTGCCGGGAATGCGCGGAGGAGGCAAACTCGAAGAAGTGGACCTTCCATGCCGACCTGCTGCGGGCGCAGTGCCTGGCGATGCTGGGTCGTTTCGCCGGTGATGACTCTATTTCTCAAACTGTTGTTCCAAGTCTTTCCAAGAGCATCTCTTTCTTCTTCTTAGTCCAATTTCGAACGAATCTTCCGGGCGCAAAAATAGTTAGACATCCCGCTGCCAGAGATATTACATATCTTTTTTCTTGTCGGAATTTTTTTTGAAAACTAATTTTCTAATCTTCAAAATGTTTCCAGGAGATAATATCATTTCTAGACGTAGTGGCCTTTCGCCATTTTTGTTCTACTTAATAAATAACGCATGTTTTTCCGTAGGTTTATGTTCTATCTGAATTACTCGAAAAAACATATCTGAAATATCTGGTTATATCAGAGTTGTATGACTGAGCTATAAAAAAGAAAAGAGGGAAGAAAAGAAGAACGGAGTGAAAAATATAATACTTTTCTCTGACGTATACGCTGACGGTTTTATCACGAAGAATTTTCATTTCACTGTGCCTGTGAGAAAGTGTCAAAATGTAGACCACGGTGAAATATCTGTAAACAACTAAGATATGACGAAATTGTGATAAAACTACGAAGTAGAAATCCTAGAAATGAGATCAAAATTATAATATATATATATATCTGGAATCTTTTAAAAAATCCAGTTTAATATATTTGATATATATTTAATTGCTTCGCTGAAATTACGTGATACTTTAAGAAATATTGGATCTACTCGTCGCTTGAGTATATAAAAAGAATGATTTTGCTAAAGTATCTAAATATTTAACTGAATACAGATTTGAAAATAATTTTGTTTGAATCATCAAAATAATTATCTAGAACGCTGAAACTATTATTAGAATGTTAAAACTTTTTGAAGCACATTGTTATCAAAATAATTATCTAGAACGTTGAAACTATAATATTATTAGATTGTTAAAACTTTTTGAAGCATTGTCATCAATACTTAACCTTTACAGAGAGAGAAAGAGAGAGAGAGGGAAAGGTTTATTTTTAAAATCTTACATCAGCTTTTTCTTTTGAGTAAGATTTATTATAAATTATTATTTTTCATTGTCTTTTTTGCCTCAAAATATGGCGCTGTTTCAGCGCCACTATAATGGCTTTTCCGTCCTGTAAAGGTTAAGCGTTCTACATAATTACTTTAATTATGCAACAAAATTATTATTAAACTTATATGTAGTTAAATTTTAGATACTTCAATAAAACCGTTCCATGTGATGTGGTTGGGTAAAATTGTAGAGAAAAAGTTCAGTACACGATCGTTCCCTAAGATGAGCTCTGTTCCACAGAGGCTCTCGAAGAGTTACGAATTGCTGCGAAGATCAGCGAGGAGGAGGGAGACACCCCAACGCTGTCTTACATTCGAGATCTTATCGAACAGCTGAATCGTGCTCTGCGCGAAGTCACGTTCAGCGAGGAAAGATGCTTCGAAAGTATTCTTCGAAGACTATCGCCGCGTTGCAAAGAACCTGAACTATCCGAAGGGAACGCGATAACAAGTTCGGGAATTAGGAGAATGACACGCAGCAAGGACAACGACGCTTCAACGCCACCGTTTTACTCCGACTGTCTAGAGGACGAGATCCTCGATCAACGCGAGATAGGTATATTAGGCTGAAGGAAATTTATTGAAGGGGATACCAAAATCTTTTGTAATCGAAACATTTAAAAATATTGTCTGAAAAAACGAACCAACATGGGAAAAAAATTATTTTGTTGAAGTATCTAAAAATTTAAATCAAAATAATTATACGAAATGCTCAAGTATGAGCAATGTAGCAAAAAATCCTGTCATTCTAGCAACTATCTTGATTCTACATATTATAATTATTTTGGCTTGGTCCAACAAAATTATTTTCAAATCTGTATATCTGTCTAAATTTTTAGATACTTTTGCAAAAGTTTTTTCCATGCACGCGAAATACTTAAGGATGTATTATACACATATTTTTTTCATAAAATAAAAAGATTATAAAAAAATTACAGATTTTTCTATATTGTACTTAAAAGTAACACAAAAGTTAGGCGGTGATTTAGAATTTGGATCAAAATTATTTTAACAAAAATCAAACCTTCAAACCTTAATTAATGATATTAATACAGAGTCGAATTCAAGTTCGATGAACAGCGCCATATCCAGCAGAAGCAAAAACACTAACTTAACGTACGTGATCGACTCTTATACGGACGTTTCATACAAAGACGGAATGAGGATATGTGATGATGAACTTTTGTCACGCGAGTCGTACATGACGTTCCGTACCTGTTACAAAGAGTCCAGACACTCCATCAACGAGGACAAAGCATCGGTCTCTTTAAAACAACCAATCGCAACATGCTCTAGTAATGTCGAAAGGTGCAGCGAACAAGCTGAATGCGAGACATTCAGGATTTCGAGATCCTACGAGGACGGGCGTAACTTTGACACCGTTACTGACAAAGCGCAGCATGACGCCGTCGTTGGAACACCGTGTGGCTGTTCGTCACTCGCTGAAGTGGAAAAACAGGATAACAATGAGGAATTCTTCGTTCACGAAGCATTTTCCAGCTTCGATGTATCTACCGAAAATTAAACGCGCCAAATTAAGGAAGAATGTTCGGAATTACGCTACGACGAAATTATGACGAAAAATCGAAGGGGTATGTCGTAACAATTTCAAGCACAACAAAAAGTCTTAAATTTTTTTATTTCCTTTAACCCTCCGGAATTGATAGAATCTATTAGATCCACTTAATTATAAATCTCTGTCAAATAATTCAATTTTCTTTATGTTACACCCACAAATTTAGATTATTCTTTCTGTTAAAGTATCACAGGATGAACCTCCAAAATTTTAATATTGTCTTAAAAATCAGATATCGATAATAACGATATCGTTTTTTATACGAATTGTCATTTTAAAATTAATTAATGCATTTTAATTAACATAAATTAAATTATAAACTCAGCGTCAATCAGAGCTATAACATACAAAATGCATAAACATAGTAACGTAGCCTAAGATCGCATAAAATCTTCGTATTGATTTATTTAATATATTTATTAATTCATGAACGGTCTTATTTATTTACACAAGATGCTTATTGGTTCAGCGGTCTCAATTATGTCATATTTATACAGTATATATCATTTTTGGTGCGTTTGGGGAAACGCTATTAACTGTTTTTTTGTTTGAGTCATTCCTTGTTTTATAATAAACGATAAAGAATGACATAAATAGCGTTAATAGTGTCTCCCTGAATGCATCATTTGTATACAATGGACTGTACTGTGTTACAGATTTTGGTGCCAGCTCCGGAGGATTAATGAAACCTTTGGTTACGAGATTCATTGATCAAAGCGGAGAATAACTGCAATAATAAATTGATGCTGAAACAAAAACACGATTTGTAAATTGTCTATAATAATGTGCGCATCGAATATATGCAGTTCTTTTTATTTTTTCAACGTCCACGCGTTTGATTGAATAGCGTTCAGCACACGTCAAGTCACGCTTTATTGACTCGTGCGAGGTGTATCGTGTGTGTAATTATGCATGCCCAATGAAGTGCCGGTTGATCGTTCAGTTAATAAGAGCAGGCACCATAATTAGTTGTACTTTTTTCTGCTATTCATACTTGTAATCGATCTGGAAATGTGAAATTGAAAAAGTGATGTGACAGACAACCTGCACCACATTTACCATTCTGTCATCTATTCGCTTCTTTTTATTCTTTTTTGCTACAATTTAATATCGCAAAACCACTTCAATCTCTTTTTTGTAAAAAAAAAAAGTAATTGACTGTTCTAGTTTAAATCGAGTTTTCATCAACTTTGCAGATAAAGGAAAAAAGTATTTAATATGATAATTGTACACCGTGAAAGAACATTACAAATATATTACTCAACAAAATTAAAGGATCACTTGAAATCAGTGCTAAAAAGGATTAAATTCAAAGTTATGTATCTTTGTGAAAATCGGCCGCAGATTGATGTTTAAAAAAGTGTTTTAAAGCATGAAACCTCAACTTTTGAACGTGTTAAACGTGTCTCTACAACGCGCGCGAACACTACAAAATATTTTACACTAAACTTAATTTAAAGTAAACCTAAATAATTAAAGAATTGCATTATTCATTTCAAATCGTCATAGCTCAATAAAAAAAATCGTAGCGTAATGATTAAAGAAATATTTTAAAGAGAAAATGTTATATTTTGCAATGCAATTAAAGAAATTTGTAAAAAAAATTTTGTTTTCTCCATACATACATTATCAAAGTTGAAGTTTATTCTTCAATTTTTCAAGGTTCACTTTAAATTAGTGTCGTTTATGATAAAATCACTGTAAAGATATGCGATTAGAAGTATTCAAAAATCGAGATTTCAATCTTTAAAACGGTTTTTAAATATCACTCTGCGACTATTTTTCGCAGAGATACGTAACTTTGATTTAGCCCTTTATAGCGTTAGTTTTAAGTAATCCTTTAATCTTATTCAGTAATGTATTTTCATGCACATCTGCATTGATATTTTTATATTTTTACCAGAATGCTTTATACATTTAAATAAAGTTCTAAAAAACGTCAAAACGCGCAGTTGTTGAAAATGTACATGTACCGCGAAGCGTTTAAATTATAAAAAGTCAACTATGTAAAATCATTGTCCGATTTGATAAACAAATCGGCACATGTCGTGTAAACGAATGAGTTTATTTAAACGCGTTTATCGTGCTCGTGAAGATATACATGTATGCGTTTAACCAAAATTCAATCGAATTCGATGTCAAAGGATGAAGCGGCGTGGAAGGTATCAACGCCGAAGAGCAATCCACGCGTGTAGGCGTGACAGCTCGCTTGCGCAGCATGTAAAATATGAAAGAACGGCAGAAAAATACGGCAGAGAGGAAGAGGAGAGGAGAGTGCGAGGTTCTAAAAGCTACCTGTTGAACTATCTATGTTCTCGACAAGGCTCTTTGTCGAGCTGCCAAGATGGCGAAGAAAATAAGTCGAGACACGCGAGAATTTACAATATGCCAAACCGCGATTGCGACTTTAACTGCGGGTTCAAGTTACGGCTAAAAGTTCAAATTTCGAAACTCCGTAATAAACTCATTATTTTCAAATGAGATCGAGGCATTCTGAATTTAGTAACATAATATAAAATAAAATTATACCCATTTTTATCGATTAAATGTTTCCATTATTGCAGCTCGAAAATGTAACAACTTCAACATTATAAAATTTTACTCTTAGAGAATTTTAATAAAATAACTTAAAATTATGTATAAAACAAAGTTTTAAAATATAAAATCAAATTTTAGAAGGTATTAAGTCAATGAGAATGGTTGGACATTGTAATTGCATTATAATAAAATTTTCAAACAGATAAAGGCTTTATTCATATTCTAAGGCAAGGCATATTCTCTAAAAACATAAAAATGAAAAGAAACAACAACGAAGGAAAAAAAAATATATATATAAGTAGCAAAAAATAATGAAAATAGTAAAACAAAACGAAAATAATGTAAATGAAAATAAAGACTTTGCAGACTGTATAAACTATATAGAAACAAACAGAGACAATAGGTAGCGTGGTGAATAGCGTATGCAAATAAAAAATTGAAACATGCAATTGTTAGAAATACGTAAATAAATATCGCTATTTATTACGTGCTAGGAATACATTCTCTCAAGCGCTAAACGAAAATACAATTAATAGAGTAAACTAAATTACAAAGAAATGGGTAACTAAATTAATAGTAAGATAATAATAATAATAAATGAAAGAGAGAGAATTTGCTATATATATATATATATATTCATTTTTATCAAAAAATTCACAGACAGAAGTCTAAAACACTTTGTACATTCTTCGCTTATACAAAATTGCATTTCTGAATCTCTCAAAAAATGGAAAAAAGCAGACACAATAGTCTGCTTTTTAGATAAGAAATCCTCTTGCTGTTATTCGATTTGCACATGTAGTATACGAGCAATGACTCGGTCTTGGAGCGATTCGTCCTGACTCGCTGAGTGGAAAAGAACTAAGTTCGTATGAACAAAATAGCACAACCACTGCACTGTTGCTTTTATTATCGCGGAAACTGTTGTTGAAAGTGTAAATAAACGTAGAACATTTGTTCAGAGCGCTTGCCTTTAAGAAAATTAAAGCGGACGGTTCTGCAGGTAACATACTGTAACAAACGTTGTAGAACTATGTATGTAGGAGTACAAAAAAGCATTTTATATCTGCAAAGCTGAACTTGGCGACTACGTGTTACGGCGACGGTAGATGTATGATATTAATCACCTCGTAAAGAACAGAATTATTCGTGTTAATGTTTTGCCTCTCGTACTTTTATTTCGAAACAAATGCTTGAACTCTTATCTTCTCTTTCTCTCCTCAGAGAATTCTTGCTTCTCTTTCTTATCTACATAACCCAGTGTGTGAAATCGAATTCTACAGTCCGTCGTCACACACGATTGCACATGATTATTATAGGAGAAATGTATTGAAAACGGACAATAGTGTCCGTTAAAACAACTTTACGCGCTCGGGAACTAATTAATGGAAAGAGAAATTCTCAAAAGGGTTCCCATTTTCCACTTAACCCTCTGATTCGTGCGCTAAATCTAATGGCGTACAATAAATCCCCATTAACCCCGATGGGTTTTATTTTAAGCACCGACACGTGTGGCCGCTTAGCTAACCGATGTTCTTCGGGTCTCGGATTTAATCAACTGATTTTTCTTCTCTTTCTTGCAACGAGCTTCATCGCAACGAGTGCGGCAACGGGGAATTATTTCGTGAGAAGAAGAGACCTTCTCCTTCATTTCGTGGTTAAAACCATCTCCTCAACTTTAACCCACGGGTAGAGAATGTGCGCCTTCCCTCGCACAACGTGTATCTCAAACTGAAATTCCGAGTTTCTTGTTAACTCGTTCAGACTGAGAATTTAATCACGTTCGTAAAGAACAATAAACGTATTATATTACTTTAGCTTTGGACGAAATTATCATGTCCTATTAAAAAAAACCAGATAGAAAAAGAATGGTTTAACGAAAGTCTATCTAAAAATTTGTACATATAAATCTGAAAATAATTTTGTTTAAATCATGAAAATAATTACATAAGACGTTCAAACTAAACTGTTAGAATGTTAAACTAGAAATTCTTCTTACTCATTAAAAGAACCAAGTGACCAAATTAGTATGAAAATAAAGAAAATGTGAAAAATCAAGAAAAATAAAGAATTATGGGAAAATAAAAAAATTTCAGCACATCTTATTTTTTACACAAAAAAATATAATATCAATCTAAAAAATAGACACGATCAATAATGACCATTTGGTACTTCTAGTTTTTGCAATTTTTTGTTAATTGTTATCAACGCTTAAACATTTTATATAACTATTTTGATCCAACAGAATTATTTTCAAATCTATATTTAGCTAAATTTTTAGATAATTTACCAAAACCGTTCTTTTCATGCAATTTTTACCAAAACTTTCTTTAAAAGTTATTATAAATAGAGTATTTCTTCTATTGAGGTGTAAACCGAAACGTTTGAAAATAATATAGTATAATTTAATATATTTTGTTTAAAGGGCACTAACACTTCGTGCTTTGTTTCATTGCTGTCTATTGATTTAGTTTTAAATTTTAATTCTATGAAGATATTTATTATTTTAAATAGCATGTCTATTTCGGAT